TAATGCTTGAACTAAGGACCCTTGGTAAGCGTTCCTTTTAGTGGGGGGTCCTTGTAGTAAGCATTACTTGGTACGGGCGTCTGTATGCAGGAACCCTGAGTAAGGATTGCCAGATGGGGAATCCTTAGTGAGGGCGCCTTCGGTAAGCAGTCATCAGTAAGGATGCCCTTACCAAGGGAACTCCAGTAAGGATCCCTAGTGACGATGCCGTTCATACGGGTACCCTCAGTGTGGATCCTTACAGCAAGTGCTCGTTGCTCATGCTGCCTTGTTCAAGCTTGCCTCGGAATGATGCTTTTAGTCAGAGGTCCGTAGTAAGGAGGGTTTATCATGGGGTCATGAGTAAGGAGCTCTTTGCAAAGGAATCCGTAGAACGGAGGCCATTGGAGGGGGGGCTGGCTGCTCTCTCTCTCTCTCTCTCTCTCTCTCTCTCTCCTTCTCCCATAGCCCACAACGCATCAGATGGGGGAGTGTCAGGAGGAAACGGATACCCTCTCTCTCTCTCTCCATATCTCTCTCTCTCTCTCTCTCTCTTCCCCCCCCTTTCCTGCCTGTGTCTCTCTCTCTCTCTCTCTATCTCTCTCTCTCTCTGTATATATATATATATATGTATATGTATCCCTACCTCTCTGGCGACTCCCCCTTTCACATTCACGCAAGGCCCAGCCAATGACCCCCCCATAGAACGCCATGCGAACGCCTCCACTGGGCCACGGCTGGAAATCCCCAGCAGGGATGATGCTGGTGGGAGGGCGCCCTTAGTGAGTTTGTGTGCTAGCGGCCTTTAACAGGGACTTCTGGATTCCACATTTATTCGTAAGGATGCCTGCGTCACGGAACGCTGAGGAAGGATTTGTTGCATGAGGATTCTTGAGCGGGGATGTTTGTGGTACGCATTCGTCAGTGGGGATCTGTTTTGCCAAGGTCTCCGTAGCACGGGCTTTTTTCGTGGGGAATCCTTAGTGGGACCGCTTGTAGTACGCATCCCTTGAATGAGGATCCCCGCAGTGATGTTTCATCACGCGTGCTTCATTAAAGGAGGGCTGCTTAGTGAGGGTCCCTTCAGACCGAGTCCCGTCCGTACGCATCCCTGCGGCACGGATTCTTTACCACGACGACTATTAGCAAGGAGACATGAATAGCGATGCCTTCAATTTAGTATGCATTCGCTAGTCGGGTGACGTTTACCAACGGGTATTTTGCACAGGCCCCTCTACTTTGGGACACCCGTATTGTGTAGGCATAGGTTAAGCATTCGTCATACATAACGCCGTCACTAAGGGACGCCCGTAGCGAGGATTCTCTTGGCGGGATGTGTCTAGTAGTGATTCGTTATCCACGTCTTCGTTCGAAAGGACGCCTTAGCAAATATGCATCAAGTGAGGGATCTAATCTCATGCCCCCTTGTGGTGATGTCTGTTGTAAGGGTCCTCATCCTTCCTTCCGTAAGGAATTCTTGACGAGGGTGCGGGGTATTGAGTAAGGGTGTTTGTAGCAACGGGGCCCTTACTTGCTACGGACAATGTTAATGAGGCGTCCTTGATGAGGGTGCCTTTGGTAAGAAGCCGCTCAGCGAGGGCCCATGTAGTAAGGACTCTTTACTGTTACTTCCTTCAGTAAGGACTCATTCATAGGAGGGGTGCCTTCAGTAAGGGTTCCTTTAGTAAGGGGCCCGTAGGCAGGATACATGGGGAGAGCGAGAGAGAGAGAGAGAGAGAGCGCGCAACAAAAAAACATAAGGAGAGAGCCAGGTATACTGTGCAGTGTTTTGTAGCTGAGTCAGGTCGAGCGTGATCAATTCGCCGCGGCTGTTGCTATGTGGCGAGGCCATGTGATTACGCAGACTGTCTTCGCAAGGGTACAGTTTGATGTGGTCGGCAGTGTCCCTGCATATTTTTTATCTGTGGCAGCATACGAGCAGGGAGGGGGAGGTGGTAGAAGGAGAAGGGAGGAGAGAGGTGGTAGAGGGAGAAGGGATGGGGGGGGGTGGTAGAGCGATGAGGGAGGAAGGGGGAGGAGGACGAGGAGGGGGAGATGGTAGAGGGAGAGGGAGCTGATAGAGCGAGGAGGGAGGAGGAGGAGGAGGAGGAGGAGGGAGAGGTTGAGGTGGTTGTGTGTGTGCGTGTGCGTGTGTGGAGGCGCCACCGCGGGCGGCATTGGGGGGCATCCTTCCAGGGTCGTTCCCTCTCCCGTCCTTCCTCCATCTCCCCCTCCCTCCCTCTCACTCCTCTCGCGCTCGCCTCCCCTCCTCTCTCTCTCTCTCTCTCGTTCGTTCTGTCTCGCTGTCCCTCCCCCCTCTCCTCTCTCTCTCTCTCTCTCTGTCTGTTTCTCTCAGGCCGCAAACTCCACACTGTCCCCTTCTCGATATTCAGGGGCCCTCGAACCAGGCTCTCGACCCGTTCGAGGGCATCTTGGGGGTGTTCTTTGGGCCGTCGGTGGGCGTCTGGTGTGTGTGTGTGTTTGCGTGCGTGCGTGCGTGCGTGCGTGTGCGTGTGCGTGTGTGTGTGTGTGCGCGTGTGTGCGCGTGTGTGCGCGCGTGTGTGTGTGTGTGTGTGTTTGTGTGTGTGTGTTTGTGCGTGTGCGTGTGCGTGTGCGTGTGTGTGTGTGCGTGTGTGCGTGTGCGCGTGTGTGCGTGTGTGCGTGTGTGCGTGTGTGCGTGTGTGCGTGTGTGCGTGTGTGCGTGTGTGCGTGTGCGTGTGTGCGTGGGTGCGTGTGCGCGTGCGCGTGCGTTGGGCGTGCGTTGCGTGCGTGCGTGACGTGTGTGCGTGCGTGCGTAATGTGTGCGTGTGTGTGTGCGTGTGTGTAGTGAGTGGTATGTGGCGTGTGTCGTGAGTGTGGGTGCGGCGGGTCGTGCGCGCGTGTGCGCGTGTGTGCGTCTGTGCGCGTGTGCGCGTGTGCGCTTGTGTGCGCGTGTGTGCGCGTGTGTGCGCGTGTGTGCGCGTGTGTGCGCGTGTGTGCGCGTGTGTGCGCGTGTGGGCGCGTGTGTGCGCGTGTGTGCGCGTGTGTGCGCGTGTACCCGGTCAGCCCCTTTCTGTGTGCGTGTGTTTCTGTGTGCGTGTGTGTATGTGTGCGGTGTGTGCGTGTGTGCGTGTGTGCGTGTGTGTGCGGGGTGTGTGCGTGTGTGCGTGTGTGTGCGTGTGTGTGCGTGTGTGTGCGTGTGTGTGCGTGTGTGTGAGTGTGTGTGCGTGTGTGTGCGTGTGTGTGCGTGTGTGTGCGTGTGTGTGCGTGTGTGTGCGTGTGTGTGCGTGTGTGTGCGTGTGTGTGCGTGTGTGTGCGTGTGTGTGCGTGTGTGTGCGTGTGTGTGCGGTGTGTTGTGTGTAGTGGCGTGTGTGTGTGTGTGCGTGGTGTGAGGTAGTGGCTGGGTGGTGGGGGCGGTGTGTGCGTGTGTGTAGAGTGTGTTGTGCGTGCTGTAGTGCGTGTGTGTGTGCGGTGTGTGGTGCGTGTCTGTGTGCAGGTGTGGGCGTGGGTGTGCGTTGTGACTAGTGAGGTGTGTGCGTGTGGTGTGCGTGTTGCGTGTGTGGAGTGTGGTGTGCGTGTGTGGGCCGTTTGGCCACCCTCCTGACCGGTTTGGGATCTTCGACTCGGCCGGGCAGGGACGTCCAAAAGGCCCGGAAGTGCCTGGAGACCCTCCGCAGGGGCGTCCAGAAGGCGCCCAGGACCAGGGATCTGGTGGGGGGGTGGGGGCTTGGGGCTCTCGCAGGGCCGTTTGGCCACCCTCCTGACCGGTTTGGGATCTTCGACTCGGCCGGGCAGGGACGTCCAAAAGGCCCGGAAGTGCCTGGAGACCCTCCGCAGGGGCGTCCAGAAGGCGCCCAGGACCAGGGATCTGGTGGGGCCCATTTCCGGGGCGGGGGTCGCATGGTTTCGGATCTACACACATCTATATATATATATATATATATATATATATATATATATATATATTATATATATAATACACAATCTATAGATACACATCTGTATAGATCTATATAGATATACCGACATGTATATATACATAGAGAGAGAGAGAGAGACACAGTAAAAAATAGAATGGCCTTCGGCCCGTTCCCGCCACCGTGCCCGGGTTGTGGGTCAGAGTCTTCAGGGATGCTTCTTGGGGTCTTTTCGGAGCGCTCTCGGGGGCCTCTGGGGGGCAGTTTGGGGCCCTCTTGGGGGCCTCTAGAGGAACTCTTGGGAGCGTCTTGGGGGCCTGTTGGGTCTTCCTGGGGGCCGCCTCTTGGGGTCTCTTGGGGGCTTCTTTGGGGCCTCTCGGGGCCTCCTGGGGGCCTCTCGGGGCTGAGGGCTAGAACTGTCCGTTCGGGTCCCTCGTCTGGGCCCCCTCTCGGAGCCTTCTTTGAGACCTCGTGGGCCGTCTTGGAGGCCTCGTGTGCCGTCTTGGGGCCCTCTTGGGCGGTTTGGGGACCCTCTTGAAGGACTCTTCGGCTGTCTTGGGGCGATACTGGGGGCCTCTTGGGCCGTCTTGAGCATCGGGAAGCCGAAAAGGCGAGAACACCAAAATCACCCAAGAGCCTCCGGAAAATCAACGATGCGTGCTTTTGGGAGTGATCTTGGAAGCCTCTTGGGCGGTCTGGAGGCCATCGTGGGCGTATTGGAGCGATCTTTCGGCGATTCTGGGCCCTCCTGGACCGTCTGGGCGGCCTCGCGGGGCTTTCTTGCCCCGTTTTGGGGCCCCCCTGAGCGAGGGCACCGTCTCGAAGACCCACGCGAGAAACCTTGGCAGCGCCCAGTACCACCCGAGAGCGCCCGGGAAATTGGGGTACGGGCCCGTAAGAAATTTACAAGCTTTATACCTCGCAGGGCTGCATGAGCCTTGGGGCACTCCACTTCGTGCCAGAGGCGCGGTGGCGGATATGTAGGGGACCAGCCTGCATGAATTAAGTGCGTGTGTGTCTCCTCTCTCGCTCTCTCTCTCTCTCTCTCTCTCTCTCTCTCTCTCCCTCTCTCTCTCTCTACAACGGCTGCGGCGAGGGCGACGACGGCAGCTGTCCCCCATGCAGGCCGAGTGCCCAGTCGACCTGAAGGCGCCCTCCAGCCTGCTGTCCACCGGCTTCGCCTCGAAGGAGGGCGGGGGGGGGGAGCGCGCAAGTGGCGGAAGCGAGTCACGCCCGTGGCATTGCAGCCTTTGGGGTCGCGGGGGGAGCACGAGACTCCTCCGCGACCCCAGGGCTCATGACCTGTGTACTGCCGCTGGGGCGCATGAGGAACAGGAGTCAGGCTGAGGAGCGGGTGGGGGTGGGGGTCGAGGGACGGAGGAGGGAGGATAGGAGGATCACCATGAGGAGCAGGGGTGCTGGGGCTTCTCTCCGTCTTCGGCCTCTCTCGGGGCCCTTTCAGGGCCCCGGCGGAAGCCCTCACGGGATTATGCTTCCCTCGGGACCCGTGCTCGTCATGCCGAGGGGGGAGAGGGGTATGTTTTTGTGCGTGGGGGGAGCCGCTTGACCCTCCTGGGGAAGGGGCACGTCGTCGCGGCCAGATGTGCCTCGAAATTCTATGAATCATGACCCGCCCTGGGAGGGGTTCAGGGGATGATGGAGGAGCTCGTCCAGGCCCGTGTTCACGCATGCGTGGATCTGTTTTTCCACAACTCCGAAGGAGGACGAAGGGGAGGGCACGGAGAAGAAGGAGGAGAAGTACAACATGCGATGGCCAGAGGAGACACAAGATGCGTGCGTCTCTCTCCCAAGCCAACGCACTGAAAGACGAACGCCACACGGGCCTGCCAGTCGGGTGAACGTCCCGCTTCAAAAAAGCTGTCGTCCTCCGTCCAGGAGGCAGTTGCATAGATGTGTCCGAGTTCTGCGGTCATATGTTCAAGAGATCTCAGGCGAGAGCCTTGTTTGCAAAGGGACCTGCCTTCTGTCCGCGTAATTGTGGGAGCGCTTGACGAGTGCGCGCGACTTGAAAGTGAGGGTCGCATCTTGAAGACCACCCACCCCGTATCCGCGTACATGCGTGTGGCACATGCGTGTGGCTTCAAAGCGAGAGCAGCAATTCGAAAACCACTAGCCCTCCTTCCGTGAAGCTGCTGGAAAAGCTCAGGACAATTTTGTGCAATTTTTGGGCGAGAGCCACATTTCAAAACAACCAACACTTCCTCCGTGTAACTGGTGAGTCGTTTAAGATCTATGTGGGCGGCGCCACGGCGAGAGCCATGTTTTGAAGATCACCCGCCATCAATCCGTGCAGTTGTGGGTTACCTGTCACGCGTCAGGATCATAGTCGGCGAAGAAACCCAAGGCGCAGCGCCAGGCCAGCCCTACCCACGCGTCTGGTGGTGCGGCGAGGCAGAATTCTTTGAAGGAAGAGGTACGGAGCGAGGGGGAGAACAGGAGGAAAAAGGAGGAGGAGGAGGAGACGGAGAACTTGCGTCGACCAAAGCGTTGTGTGGTGCAATCTCGTGGACCATGTTCGTTCTCGTTTTCGCATCGGTTTGTTCACATGTTCGCTCCGGGGCCCGCCGAGGGAAATTTCGACGTCTTTGCTACGCCATCTCAGGGGTACCAGTGAGCAGGGGAGGTTATGGCCTCAATTCCAGAAGTCTCCTCAATTCGTAAGGTTTGCTCTCCCATTTTGCGAGTTTTCTGGCCTTGGGAGTATCCAGCACGTGCGAGGGAGGAGGAGAAGGATATGACGAGGAAGAGGAGGGTTGTTCTGGGGGCATCTGAGGGGGAGACGGGGTTCAGAGGGGCTCTGGAGGAGAAGGAATGAGATGAGAGGAGGGAGGAGAAGGAGGAGAGACAGATGAAGGAGGGGGGCGAGGAGGAAGGGGAAAAGGACGAGGAAGAGGAAGGAGCAGGAGGAAAGAGGAAAGGGGAGGGAGAAGAGGAAGGAGGGGGAGGAGCCGATGAGTAGGAGTGGGATAAGGAGGAGCCGGAGAAGGGGATAGAGGAGGAGCTGGAGGAGGAAGGAAAAGATAATGATGAGGAGGAACAGCACCGCCGCCCAAAGGCAGTGCTCCTGCCCGACGGGTCCGAGATGCACACGCTGCCCGACGAGCTGCGCGCGGGCGGGGCAATGGGCATGCAAGGCTGGATTCAGCTGCCCAAGAACAAGGATCCGCTATCTTCTTGGTTCGAGATTTGAGGTTCCTAGATGGATTTGGACTCCTGGGGCGTTCGCGAGGTCACGACTATATTCCTTTCGACATTCTGGCCAGGTCCACGAGTCGTTACGCATCCTTGGCGTCGTGAAAATATCGCAACGACATGCTTTTGCACCTTTTCGACCTTGCTGGGCCCCACGGCCGTGAAAACGCTACTCAGGTTGAAAGCAGGGCCTGGGGATTTGGGTCCAGACTTCTCCAGGGATCCGCGTTGTGACAGAAGCATGGCGTCGGACGTTTGGGAACGACATCTCCTCCAGGCCGTTCGACGAGCGTCGGAGGCGGCCAGATGAAAAGCGCGCCTGCTGCTTTCCTCGTGTGCCGGCCCCCTGCGAGGCCGCACAGTGGGCACATCCAACAAGAGACACGGCCTGCCAGCATGTGCCCCGCGAACGTGTCCTGTCCCGCGCACGGCCCCAGGGGACCCACACACGCTCTGGGGCGCCTTAGGACCCTCTAGGAATCGACGGAGACTGTGCCCCAGTAGTACTTACAGCAGGATGCCTTCTCGTGTGCGTCTGCCGCATCACGGCCCTAGGGGCCCTCACAAAACGGCCCCGCTGTGTCTTCGTCCACGACGCTGCGATTGTTCGCGACGTCGGACCTCAGCGTTCGCCAGCGTGCTCTGTTCCGTGCGCGGCCCTTCGGGAGGCCTGGCATCGCTCGGACGTGTGCATCTCTTCTCGGCGAGAGCCATTTGAGGACGATCCTGGACCATGGAGCAAAAAATTAGCCTGACGAAAGACCCAACCATACGTAGTTGTGAATACCGCAATTGTGGATATATTCTTCGGTGGCGCCCCTGGGCCACGAAACGAGTGAGGGGTGTGCCGAAATGCGGGGGTGGAACCGCATGCGGGCGCAGCCACTGGGGCGCTCGGTGGAGCTCCCTATGGAGCCACGAAACGTGTGAGGGGTGTGCCAGAATGGGGGGTGGAACCGCATGCGGGCGCAGCCACTGGGGCCTTCGGTGGAGCTCCCTATGGGGCCACGAAACGTGTGAGGGGTATGCCAGAATGGGGGGTGGAACCGCATGCGGGCGCAGCCACTGGGGCCTTCGGTGGAGCTCCCTATGGGGCCACGAAACGTGTGAGGGGTGTGCCAGAATGGGGGGTGGAACCGCATGCGGGCGCAGCCACTGGGGCCTTCGGTGGAGCTCCCATATGGGGCCAGCGACGAAACGTGTGAGGGGTGTGCCAGAATGGGGGGTGGAACCGCATGCGGGCGCAGCCACTGGGGCCTTCGGTGGAGCTCCCTATGGGGCCACGAAACGTGTGAGGGGTGTGCCAGAATGGGGGGTGGAACCGCATGCGGGCGCAGCCACTGGGGCCTTCGGTGGAGCTCCCTATGGGGCCACGAAACGTGTGAGGGGTGTGCCAGAATGGGGGGTGGAACCGCATGCGGGCGCAGCCACTGGGGCCTTCGGTGGAGCTCCCTATGGGGCCACGAAACGTGTGAGGGGTGTGCCAGAATGGGGGGTGGAACCGCATGCGGGCGCAGCCACTGGGGCCTTCGGTGGAGCTCCCTATGGGGCCACGAAACGTGTGAGGGGTGTGCCAGAATGGGGGGTGGAACCGCATGCGGGCGCAGCCACTGGGGCCTTCGGTGGAGCTCCCTATGGGGCCACGAAGCGTGTGAGGGGTGTGCCAGAATGGGGGGTGGAACCGCATGCGGGCGCAGCCGTTGGGGCCTTCGGTGGAGCTCCCTATGGGGCCACGAAACGTGTGAGGGGCGCGGCGCTGACGATGGCGATGGTGATGACGATGGCGATGGTGATGACGATGGCGATGGTGATGATGATGATGATGATGATGATGATGATGATGATGATGATGATGATGATGATGATGATGATGATGATGATGATGATGATGGTGATGGTGATGGTGATGGTGATGGTGATGGTGATGGTGATGGTGATGGTGATGGTGATGGTGATGATGGTGATGGTGATGGTGATGGTGATGAGGATCATGATGGCGATGATGACGATGACGATGACGTGGAGGAGGAGGAGGGAGGGGGCAGCGGGAGGAAGGAAGGAACGCGGGGCACCGTCTCTTCAAAACAAGGACCCAACAACACAGGTTGGTTGGGAACAACACGCACGACACCGAAACGTGCACGGGACACGGACGTCCGAGCGAGGGCCGGGGAGGCGGGCGGGGGAGCGAGGCCCAGGCGTGCAGGCCGTCGTGCTGCCGCGCACCGCCGTGCCGCGGTCGGCGGGGCGGCGCGCCGAGAGGGGCGCCCCTCGGCGCGGGCGCGCCGCGCGCCGCGCGGCCACCCGCGCAGAGGCGCCCGCCGGCAGCGGCCGCGCTCGGCGCCTCGAGAGGAGGGCGGGCCGTCGGAGGTCCTCCTCCTCGTCCTCCTCCTCGTCCTCCTCCTCGTCCTCCTCCTCCTCGTCCTCCTCCTCGTCCTCCTCCTCGTCTTCCTCCTCGTGGGCAGCTCAGGGGGGTCGAGGGTCTCAGGGGGCAAGCTCAGGATTGCAAAACAACCCGGGATTGCAAAAAAACCCAGGGTTTTGCAACAAAAACAAGGATTGCAACAAAAAACCTGGTTTTTTGCAATCCTTCGGTCGAGGGTCTCAGGGGCAAGCTCAGGGGGGGTAGTGCGCTCAGGGGGGGACCTCGGCATTACGCTCGGACGCGTGCCTTTTTTTTCCTCGGCGAGAGCCATCGAGGAGCATCCCTGATGAACTGGCGAGAAAACCACGCACGAAACCGAAAAAAGCACAGGGAATGGACGTCCGAGCGATGGCCAGTAGGGGGGATAGTACGCTCAGGGGGGGACGCATCGACCCCCAAGCGCCCATTCATCGCCGGTAGCGGCCTGATAGCTCACCCCGTCCAGGACCGTGCGGTTTCGGAATGGGGGGCCTGCAGTCAAAAATAAGCAATTGGGAGCAAAACGTCGCACTTTTCACGTGGATGCATTTGCACACAGATCTGATCAGCGACAGGCCCAATCGTCACATCGCGCAGTGCACGCACGCCGAGACGACGTGGGCCAAGAACTTTGCTAACATTCTGCGGCGCTTGGATTGCGCAAGGGCGGCGGCTCTCCGCGCTCGAACCACTCTGAGACCGCCATACTCCAAAGTATTATAATGGCTTAGGGCCAGATGGGCCTCAAAACCTTCAGACATCGTATAATTTTACACCGGGCGGCTCCCCATGGCGGCCTCAAGCGGTCTCAGAGGGTCTCAAGTGCCACGAATCCCGCGGCGCCGAGTACATCCGTGCGGCTCACATGATTTCACAGTGCCGCAAAGCATTCGGCGCCGAGCGCATCCGCGCGCTGCACAAGGTTTCGAAGTGCCACGAAACCCTCGGCGCCGAGCACACGCGCACGTCTCACAGGGTCTCAAAGTACTGCGAAGTCTTCGGCGCCGAGCACACCCATGCGCTTCACATGGTCTCACAGTGCCACGGAACCCTGCCGGCGCCGAGTGCATCCGCGCGGTGCACGAGGTCTCAAAATGCCCCGAAACCCTCGGCGCCGAGCACATGCGCGCGTCTCACAGGGGCGCACAGTGCCACGAAACCCTCGGCGCCGAGCACGCCCGTGCGTTTCACATGGTCTCACAGTGCCACCGAACCCTCGACGCCGAGTGCAACCGCGCGTCCCACGGGGTCTTCAAGTGCCACGAAGCCTTCTCGGCGCCTACCACATGCGCGCGTCTCACAGGGTATGATAACTCACGAACCAGTCGGCGCCGACTGCATCCGCGCGTTTCACAAGGTCTCACAGTGCCGCGCAAAGTCGTGGCGCCAAGCACATGCGCGCGTTTCACACGGTCTCAAAGTGTTACGACACCCTCGGTGCCGAGATCATCCGCGCGTCTCGGAAGGTCTCAACTTGCCGCGGCTTCATCTGCGCCGGGAGTATCCGCGCGCCTCATATGGTCTCAAAGTGCCACGGAGACTTCGGCGCCGAGCAAAACCGCGCGCCTCGCGCGGTCACGAAATGACACGAAACCTTTTGCAGCTGGCGAACAGAGTGACAAAGTGAATGCACGGCAAATATTTCTCGTGTGAGACTAGACTCGCAAATAGCACACAACGCACATTAGGTGGATTGCCTAGTCTACGTCCCGCACGGCCCGTATCGGAGAGCTTTGCACCGGGGTGGGCGCCGCGTCACGATGGCGATGTTTTTTCTCACGCGCGAGACAACAATTCGCAACTTGCAAGAGATTTCCCCTTCGAGGACACGAACAAATTCAACCCGGCTACCAGGGGCTCCGGGGGTCCCAACACGCAATGTATTTCCGATTGTTAAATTGGAGGCACCCAGAGCGATTTTCGTTTACGTGTCCTTCTGTGCTCCAGATCCCGTCACGTACGCCGAACCCCTCCTCGGGTAGCAGGGCTCCTCCATATTTGGCTAAACGGGGGTTGTCCCCAGCCTGGGATGGATGCTAACCAATCTCGTGGGGGCAGTGCGCCATGAATGGAGCTGGGGAAGGTCAGCAGCCTGGCCGTAGAACTTCCCGTCCACATACGTTATTGTTCAATCGAGCGCTTCGAATTTATGGCCAGCGCGGCGGCGAGAGTACCATTCCGACGCCAACGCGTAAGCAAGCAATAACGCAAGCACACAATCATGCGTCATGCAGTAATTGTGACGCCGAGTGAGCACAGTGCCACCCGCTGGAACCCTGATGACGACGCGGCAGAGGGCGCGGCCGCAACGCGAGCCGCGGCATCCACTTTCAACCATTCACTCTTGACCTGGAAGCCCAGGAAATCGCCCATCGACATGGTGCTTGGACGCAAAAAGCAGACAGGAGCATTCGCACCCTGGTGAAGACGCCGTGAAGAACGCGGCCCAGAAACGAGCGTGGATTCCGTTTGCGAACACGCCTTCTCGGACTGTCTAGCACATACATCGGCGATGTATCGCCGAGTTCACGTCGATGTTTCTTCCCTGAGCCGGTCCCCCCCTATCGGAGCTTGGCCGTCCTGCGCGAGGCGTGAGGGGTGGACTGCGTCGCGTGAGAGGCAGGGGTGTGGCGGTCTCGGCGCGCGCGCTGGGGGGCTGAAGCGGTGGCCCGCTAGACGGAAAGCTAGTGGAGCAGCGTGCTGTGCGTACGTGCGCGGCGCCGTGCCCACACCTCGGAAGGGTATTCTTCGTTAGTCTCCCAGCTGCTCTTCCTCGATGTGGGGCCTCCAGGGCGGACGCCTGTTTCGGGCCCTGGGGCCATCAAACATAAATCCGGGACGACAAGATGCCTCATTGGAAGGGAACGAGACGTGTGAGGCCCGCGCAATGAACAAAAAACATCGTCAGACGTCAGGGGAGAGCGGATTGCCATGCGTGGTGCTCATTGGGCAGTTTGCGGTACACAGGTATGCGCCGTGGTACGTTGCCCCCCCCTCGGCGTCACCAGTTCACGACCCCTACTGCGCTGGGGTCGGAGACCAGCGAATCGCGGGAGGCTCTCAGACGTGTCGACGTTCAGTTTGAATTTGATGTTCCAGTTGCTAGTGGTTGGTCCATTGGGGGACTGCAGCTGGTAAATTTCCCGAGCAGGACGTTCTTTTGCAGTCGCCCCTCTTTCAATACATAAAAGGGCATAGGTAACCGTTCCCCAGGGCAACGACAAAAACATGTGCCGCACCGTCTTTGGGGGACGCGGTCGCGACAGCAGGAATCCCGACATGCCGAGAGGCAGAAGTATCTTTCTCCAAAAGGAGAAGCCGTTGGTGCGTGCGCTGGTGGAGTATGGGCCGATCGCGCTTGCGGTGGCCGCGGGCCACGAGTGGAACTGGTACTACCACGGCATCCTCACGCCGGAGGGCTGCGACCAGGGCAACGTCATCAGCCACGCGGTCGTGCTTTACGGATACGGCAGGGCCATTAACGAGAAGTACGGGGAGGTAAAGTATTGGCGTATCAAGAACTCGTGGGGCAGGAGATGCTCCCCCTCCTCGCCCTGCCGCAACACTTGTCACTTTCGCCTGCATGTCTCACGGGTGTGTTACGAAACCATGTTTTTCATCGCCCCGCAATCGTCCTCCCACACCACTTGAAACGTTCTAGAACACTCAGCGCCCTTCTGAACAGTTTTTCTGGATCCCCCCCTCGTCGTCAAGTCGGAAACGTGAACATTAGACCGCCAGAGATCCCCACAATAGAGAACACGGATACTCAGCCTGCTTCGCGATTCCAGACGCTTCGCGTAACCTCACTAGCCCATCCAGAAACGATGCGCAGAGGAATTGCCTCGATCAGGGAAGTGGGCAGCACACAGAGGAAGGGTCCCCCAGTGGAGGCTTCTTGGAGCGTCTTGGGCGCCTCTTGGCGGTCCCGGACGCCTCTTCGAGCGTCTTGGGTGCCTCGGAGAGCTTCTTGGGGCCTCTTGGGGGTCTCATGGGAGCCTCTTGGAGGCCTCTTGGGCGCCTGTTGGGGCCTCCTGGGCGCCTCTTGGGGCCCGCTTGAAACGCTCTTGGGGTCCTTGGGAGCGCTCTTGGAGCACTCTTGGCCATCTTGGAGCCATCTTGAGGCCTCGGATGACCATCGGATGCAAAAAGGCGAGAAAACCAAAAACATTGATTTTCCGTAGGTTTTGGAAGGATTTTGGCCTCTTCGGGGCCTCCTGGGGGACCTCTTTGGCCACTTGGAGCCGTCTTGGAGCGGTCTTGGAGCATCGTGGGAGCCATCTTGAGGCATCTTGGGGTATCTTGAGCCATCTTGGAGGTCATTTTGGGCTCTCCCAGGCGCTCTTGGATTAATCTGAAGCTGTGCCCCCCCCCAGGAGGCCGATCAAAGAAGGGGGGTTCCTTGATTAGCGCCCCCCCCCCCCCCCCCCAAGAGGCCAAAATGGGGCCAAAACCATAGTAGAACCACTGATTTTGGCTTCCTCGCCGAGGCCGTTTTGGACGCTCCGACCGCTCGCGAAACGCCCCGTCCAGGTCCAGGGGGAGGGGTAAACCCCTCCCCGAAGGGAAAGAAGGGGGTGGAAGAGGAAACACCCTAAACCACCTACGCCCTAGAGGGCTGGTGGGATTCGATGAGCGGCGCGCGAGAGAGGAAAGAACACATTCCCTCCCACTTACAACAACCCCCCCCTCCGGAGGTCGCAGAAGGTCCACAGAGGTCACCTGGGACTTCCAGAAGAGGCCTCAAGAGGCTCTGGAGACCCCAAATGCATATTTCTCCCCGTCTATCTTCCTACTTTTTCCGCTGGCGCCGGAGCTCTTGATCCCGTCCTGGCTCCAGCGTTTCATCCTGAGTAGTTCTTGAATACCCCAGACACCCGAAACGGCTTCTGGAGGCAAGTCATTACTACAGTCCCGTCTTGACTTGTTCAGGACGTGGGAGGTTTGGCCCCCCTCCGTCGCTGTCGTCATTCCCCTCCCTGTCAAAATCATGTTGTACTGGATTCGTTGATGGGTATCTTTTCGCATCAGGAGGCAGACACCAGTTCTGTGACGCACAATGTCCGGATCTCTGTTTGCAGTAGCAGGCACGTGCGGGCGCCGTGACGCGCATTTTCGGAGTTCCGAGTCCTCCGCTCCCCTTCCGTGCGGGCCCTCTCTTCCCGGGGAGGATCAAGAGCCGCTCGTGCGGCGCGTGGCCAGGCGAGCTCGCTCGCAGCTCGACAGGGGCGAAGCCTCAGCCGTGGGCCTCCCCCCGAGGGGGCTCGTCTCGTCACGCCACGGCTCGCGCCAGCGCCGCCTGGGAATGCCCCTGCGGCTGGCGGATCTCCAGACGGCGCCGGCGCGCACCGTGACGTGACCGGGGGGGGGGGGCGGGAGGCCTCGCGGCGGCGACGGGAGCAGCAGCCGCAGCAGGCGAGAGAGGGGCCCAGGGCCCACCTCCGCCCCCGCCGCCCGCCGCGTCAGGGCGGGGTGGGGGCCTCCGGCCAAGCCCGCCGGGGGCGGCGGCGGCGGCAGCGGTGGCGGAGGCGGCAGCCGCAGAGGGGGGGGGCCGCAAGGGAGGAGAGGGTCGCCACGGCTTTGCCTCCTCCTCTTTTTTTCTTAGCCAGGCCGCCAAGCGATCACGCTGAGTGCCTCCTCCTCCTCCTCCTCCTCCTCCTCCTCCTCCTCCTCCTGGTCCTCCCTGGTCCTCTTCTTCCTCGCGGGGCCAGGAGCTGGGGCGAGGACGGTACTATCCGCGTGCAGCGCGTGGACCAGGAGGATTCCCGGTGCGGCTGGGACGAGCAGCCCGACGTGGGCTCCGGCTGCATCGGGGGCCCGAAGAGGGTCAGCTTGGGGGGCACAGACAAACCCGAAAAGGAGAATGTTATTTGGAGTCGGCCCGGCACTGAGTTCTGGCCAACAGAACAGGGGGGAAGGGGGCTACCTCGTTGCCACTGGACGCGGCTCGAAACACTTATCGATTTCGACCCCTGGAGCGGTCAAGGGACCGATTGTGAGCGAATCTGCCTTCATCCCCTCAAGCCCCGGGGCCGCCTCCTAGACTTCATGCGCATCTTGTTCGCAATTAGTGTTGAATTCCGGTGTGCCTTTCCCACGGGATGATGGAGGAACAACCGAGGGAACAACCCGCGCACCAACCACGGAACAACCCACTGGAGGAGCCACGGGACAACTTGCAGAATAACCCACGGGACAACCACAGGACAACCACGGGACAACCCGCTGGAACAACCCAGCGGACCACCCACAGGACCACCCACGGGGCACCTCAGGACAACCACGGGATAACCCAACGGGACAACCCAAGGGGACAACCCACGAGATTTTCACGGGATAACTGCAAAACAACAGTTACAGGACAAACATAGGACAGGGCACGGCCAGCCAACAACGACTTGACAACCACAGGACAATCCACAGGACCACGGGTCAACCTTCGGGACAACCACAGGACAACCCGCGGAACAACCCAGCGGACCACCCACAGGACCACCCACGGGGCACCTCAGGACAACCACGGGATAACCCAACGGACGACCCGGCGCCCCGCCGCGAGACATCGGAAGGCGAAACAGTTTACCCGATTTGGCCCGAGATTCGACCGTCACATCGTTGCCCTCGCACAGCTTGGGCTGGCGCGCACGACACGGGCCGAAACCGAAGACGCCTTCCTGGCTTGGGCCACATCGTTCTCACCCCCTCAGCCTCCGTTCCGCGGCCTTGCGGTCCGGACTCCTCGGCATCGTTCCCGTGGATCACGGTGCGGTGTTGCGCGGATGTCCCGCGTGGAAGGTGCCGATGGGAGTGCACATCCACAGGACCGCGCCTCGGAGCCCAGACCGCGCAGGCATGGACATGCACGTGCTCGCCGCTCACGGGGGCCAGAGAGGGTACGCGTTTGGTCAGGAGGGGAAAAAACGCACAGACACAATCAATCGTCGATTCCCCAAAGAATATTGGAAAATATGGGAAGTGGGGGGAAGACAAAAACCCAGAAAATATGGGAATATATATATATATATATGGGGAATCCGGTTATCTGTGTCTATGTGTTTGTGTGTCCCAGGGCCTCTTCAAGAGGCTACGCGTCTGGGACACGATGATGAAATGCTCTCCTCCCAGGTGTGGGTCTGCGGCTCCTGCGGCATCCTCTACGAGAGCGTGATGCCGCGGTTCAGCTGATTTGGTGCTAGTGCATGCCAGCGCCGGGCGGCCGTTCCGCCAGCGGCAGCTCTCCGTGGGCGCCCCTCTTCCGAGCCGGCGGCCTCGTTTTTTCCCCTGACGCCGTCCTGCCTGTGGAAGCCCGCGTGCCCTCGCTCCGCCGCTGCTGCCTTGCGCGTCTGCCGGGCACGGGGTCCTCGCGCTGCCGATGCCGTGCATGTGCGATCCAGCGCCAGGGCCCGTATTCGGGGGCATTGGATTTGTGTATCACCGCCCACCAAACCACCCCAACCCAACCCGAAGGCCCCAATTTGCCCTCCATTTCCAGTTGGGGGGGGTCGGGGAACGTTGAGAAAACACACATGAAGCTCGTACCCCCCCCAACCCGAAATTCGGGTCTTCGGGTTGGGTTGGGGTGGTTTGGTAGGTAGTCAGTGTACGGCCCATGTGTTCCCGCTGTTTGTGGCGTGCGCTTCGGCGCGAGGGCTCCTCCTCCACCCCCTCCCAAGCCCGCTCTTCCACATCCCTTCCTGCACGCCCTCCCGGCCTCCGTCCCCTGTCTCCTCCATGCCATCTCTTCCCTTCCTCACTCCTTTCTCCCCTCCCTCCTCCCCTAAACCCTAAATCTCTAATCCTTATAATTATTAAACCCTAATCCCTTCCAAACCGCTCGCTATGCAAGCCGCCCTCCTTCCCTTGCAAAAAATATTATTTCCTGATCATGCGATCAGAAAACTTTTTTTTACAGCACATTCTGCCCGGCCCCGGTCGCGACCCGGGCTCATCCCTTGCAAAAAATATTATATCCTGATCATGCGATCAGAAAACCATATGTTTTACAATACAAAGTGCCCGGCCCCGGTTCGCGACCCCGCATGTAACCCGGGATTTTATATTGTAAAAATACTATAACCTTAACATCCTGTTCTTGCAAGATGTGTCCATGCTCATATTCCATTGCAACAAATACGACAAAGTGCACACGCGCGCGGCGGCCCCGTATGCGTACCGGAGTTGTGTATTGTAAAAAATATTATATACTGAAGATTCTGCTCTCGCAAGATGTGTGCATGGTACTATTCCATTGCAAAAAATACGACAAAGTGCACAAGCGCGCGGCGGCCGCGCGATCATGGCCAACTCCTTTGGAAATTTCAATGTTTTTCAGCACTGGTGTTATGCGACAGCCACGCTAGAGGCTGCGGTTATCCAGATGTTGTGGAACTCGCCTTTGTGCTAATCTATGTTATGCTGGCATAGCATACGAGAGGCGTTGCATAGCAAAGCACGTTGAGGTCGGGCGAACCCTAGAGTCCGCCCGACCCGAACCGACCCGCTTGTTAGGGTTCACGCGTGTCAAGTGTACACGCACCATACTTTAATGTCCCGCCCGCCCGACCCGACCCGCCTGTTAGGGTCCGCCCGACCCGACCCGACCCGCCCGTTAGGGTCCGCCCGCCCGACCCGACCCGACCCGCCCGTCAGGGTTCGCGCGTGTCAAGTGCACACGCACCATACCTTAATGTCCCGCCCGCCCGACCCGACCCGCCCGCTAGGGTCCGCCCGACCCGACCCGACCCGTCCGTTAGGGTCCGCCCGCCCGACCCGACCCGCCCGTTAGGGTCCCGCCCGCCCGACCCGCCCGCTAGGGTATAACATGAGAGGAGGGATGATCTTTATGCGGGGGTGGAGATGCGGGGGGGATTGATAGCCGCCGCAGGTGGGTGCCTATGCGGGTAGGTATTCTTGGCCTTGCCCTGTTAGACCCTAAACCCTAAACCCCTCCTCACCCCCCCGTCATCCCTCCTTCCCTCCCTGCCTCTTGCGGCTGACTGCCGCTGCGATCCGCCTCCCGCTGCAGCCAGTCGCCAGCTGCCCGCCGCCGCCGCCCCTGCTGCCGGTGGTCTTGCTGTTGCTGGAGGGTATCGGCACATTTTGGAGGGGCCTCCCGCGGCCTCAGGGATGCCCAGGATGCCTTCTAAGATGGCTCAAGATAGACTGAACGGACGCGCCAAAGAGGCTCTCAGAGCATCCAACATGCCCAAGAGGAACCTCCAAACGGCCTCAGGAGGTGCTGTCTTCAGAGCGCGCTGGGGGCCTCATGGCTGGTTTCGGGGGCCTCCCCCTAGGGCCTCTTGGGCCAGCTGGAGCGCATGCTGGTCTCCTCGAGCGTTCGGAAAGATCCCACGTGGCCGTCGTGGGGGCCTTCTGGAGCTTGCGCGGGCCGTGCGGGGGGCGACTTGTGGCTTTTTGGGGCAAGGCCCTTCTGGGCGGTCTTTGCGCCCTGTGGGATCTCTCTTTCATGCCGCCTTGGGTACTATTGGGGCCATCCCGTGAGCTTCCAGTAGCCGCTTTTCTTGAAAAGGCATCGGCCGAAAACATGGAAAGTCAGAAGCATTGAAAGGTAACATGTACTTCGTCTGCTCGGGTAAGGGTATGTTTCTCTGGGGCTCTCTGTGCGCCTATCCGTGTCAGAGAAGTGCGTGATATTGGGTTACAGTGGGCGCTTATTGGGACCATTTTGGTTCATACTCGACGATCTGAAGCACCTACGCTAGAAAGTTTGCAGAGCGGAGAATACTGAACCTCGTTGGCATCTCGTTGATTTCGGTCGAGCAGGGCTTCCCTCAGACATTTGGCGCCTCTCGTGCGAGCGCATATGGGAGCATCGCCGAGGAAGTTTATCGAATTGCTTCGCTCACTCCGCCGGCCATATTTTCTCGCTGGTGTCGTTTCCCTTGGTGTTGTTGTCAATGCGGTGCGTTTGGGCGGTGGTCCCTTTTCGGAGGCGGTGCGTGGGGAACGGTTGTGGTTCGTGTTGGCACGATGGCCGCCGGTAGCCCAGGGTCAGCACGACGCGAACCCGCCGTAGCGAGATGAATGGACACCATTGTATTGCTTGAGGCATCTCGCCTTTCGCCCTTTCCACTTATTTCTCTCCCTGCTCGAGGATAAGGACGACGGTGAGGACAGCGAGGGTCACCGCTGCTTTAAGACCGTGTGCTTACGGAGAGAAGGGGAGGAGGAGGCGCAGGAGGAAGAGGGGGGGATGAAGACGAGGAGGAGGCCTTTCCTTTCGATGGCCGCTTGGGACATCATCGTGGAGAACTCTTGTGACCTCTCGGGGGCCTCTTGGTGATTTTGTGAGGGCGCGTATGGGCCTCCTGGTGTGATTCTGGGGTGGGCGGTTTGAAAATCCTCTCGGATTTCTTGCCTGGCCCCCCTGGGTCCCGTCTCGGGGCCGTCCTGGGGCCATTTTGGGTCGTCAAGGAGGCCTTCTGGAGTGCACAAGCCCCCATGTTCGTTCTATCTGACGTCAGGGGCCCAGCCCGGAGAGGTCGGCCGGCATGACGTGCTGTCTCGCTCCCGCTCGCGCTTGTTCCACACAAGCTTTTCAGCGAGCCTGACCGCCCTCCAGGGCCCCGGGCGCGGGTGACCCCCGCATCGTTGCGTCCGCATCCGCGAGGAGGCCTTCTGGATCATCTGGGAGCCCTTTTGAGGCCGTCTTGGGGCCTTTGGGGATGCCTCCTGGACCATATTGGGGCGATATTGGGGGCGTCTTGGGACGTCTCGGAGCGTCAAGCAGCCCTCTTGGGGCCGTTTTGGGGGCATCTTGGGCCGTCTTGGAGGCTTATCAGGCCGTCGTGGGGTCCTTTTTGGGCCGTCTCGGGGCCTTCTTGGATGCTTATTGGGCCATTTGGGGGGCGTTTTGGGCTGTCTTGGAGCGGCGGGGAAGCGGAAAAGGGAAGACCGCCAGAATCGCTGAAAAGCCAAACATGGAAATCAATGTTGGTTGCTCCTTGGGGCCCTGTGGAGGCGCCTCTGGGAGACTGCCCTGTGGGCGTCTTGGAAGCGCCTGCGGCCGTCTGGAAGCCATCTTGGGCGTCTTGGACCGATCTGTCAGCGATTCGGAGCCTTGTTGGACCAATCCCGCGTGAATGCGCAGGCCCGTTTCGGAACGATCTGGAAGGCTGAAAAAGGCCGCGCACAGGAGAAACATCAGTTCTGACCCGAGTGTCTCGGGAGCCTCGCGGGGCCACTGTTCGCCCGGGGACCCTCGGCGGCCGCCCCGCGCGTTCGAACTAGAAATAGATTCGTCACCCGTTACCGCAGATCCTGGCACGCCGCTGGCCCGTCGCGCCAGCTAGTTGGGCCGCCGCGGCGACCTCTCAGGGTCCCCATGGGGTTGCCGGGGCTGCTGATGGGCGGCTAATGGACCACCAGTCTGGCTCGGACCGCGAACTCGGGGTCCCGAAGGGTTTGGTTTGAGGGCCTGGTGCCCCAAGGGGTCGGCGGACCAACGGGGCGCTATCCATTCCCTTTTGTTCCCTTCATCACAGTGCCCCGTCGTGCGATGGCCCCGTTTACGGTGGCCCTGGCACAGCCTGCCCTGGGGCGCAGGACGCAGAGCTGCCTTCGCCAAGCCGCGAAGACGCGAGGCTAGCTTGTTGGGCGAAGGTCGTCGAGCCCGTCGTTCCATCGCGACCAGTGATTTCAACTTCTGCACTCCTTCCATTATCATTACCTTCCTCCCCCCTGTCTCCGTCGTCCTTCGTCAGGTTCCTCCTGATCTTCGTTGCTCCCAGAGCCCCCCTCCAGCCCGCGAAACCTTCACGGAACTCATGAAATCATCCCAGCCCCATTCCGTTTCCACGTTTTTTCTTTGCCATTTATTATATTTTTTCCCCTTCATTTTCTTGTTTCTCATCCTCGTTATCCGCCTCTTCTTATTCCTGTCAAGTCCGACGTTGCCCCCCCACGTTGAAGTGTGGGAGATTGGAAACTTGTTGGGTGGACGAGTGAAACCAACATCGTCACAGGTGCATCTCAGGTCATGGGTTCGGCGCCCGGCCTGGGGTTCGCCTGCGTCGTTCGGTGCAGCCTGGCCCTTCGGGCCTGGTCAACACGTTCCAACATAGTTCCTCTTCTCCCTCTGCGAAAATTCCCAGAGCATGTGCACCATGTCCGAAATGCTCTCGGACGGTAAACCGAGAGAACGTGCACCTGCTCACTCCCCCATCCCCCTCTGCCCCGAGAGCGTGGTCCCCGTAGCAGTGTTTGGGCTCGGTGAAAGGCGCCAGCCAGGGTGACGTCTGGAAGGATGGGAGGAGGAGGCGGAGGAGGAGGAGGAGGAGGAGGACGATGACGAGGAGGAGGAGGAGGAGGACGAGGAGGAGGAGGACGAAGAGGAGGAGGAGGCGGAGGAGGAGAGGAAGAGGAGGCGGAAGAGGACGAAGAGTGAAAACCACCCGCCCTCCATCCATGTAAGTACTGGAAGCTTGTAAGCACGCGGCGCTACGGCGAAAGCCACTCGTTGCAAAGGAACCGCCATCGAAGAGGCGTGTTTTTTGCACAACACAGACGGATGGAAACACCCACCCAGACTTTCCCAGGGGTTCCGGGAGGCCCAGGACAGAGAAAAAGGCATTCAAAAACATCGATTCTCGAACATCGATCTCCCTCCTCGAGCCTCGATCACCCTCCACGCCCCTCGGGCACGAGGTCTTGTCACGGGAGAAGCAGGAATCGGTGCAGACGGGGGTCCTGGACCCCGGGAGTCTCCCCAGGCCGCCCGCGGGCCCGAGGGACGGCGAGAAAAGTTCCGGGACTCCGTCCTTTCGCGGCGAGGAGAGTTCCCTTCTGCGGCTCCCCCATTAGGGCAAGGGATTTCTTAACGGTGAAATGTATAAGTTAACAGCGAATTAGCACTTTGACACTACGTAACCCCGAGTGAATTAACACAACGCTGATGACACGACGCTGTTGACACCACGTAACCACCACAGTTTTGATACGAAGCTGCTGACATTACGCAACCCCAATGAATTATCACTACGCTGTGGACACTCCGCTGTTGACACTACACAACCCCGAGTGAATTATCATTACGCTGTTCACACTACGCTGTTGACACTACGCTGTTGACGTTACGCTGTTGGCACTACGCTGTTGGCATTAATCCGTAAGGGCTTCGCCCCCTGCCGCCGGCCCCCTCCCTCGGAGAATGGGCCATGGAAGAGCTAAGTCATGAGGTCTTGGCGCTGTCGTGAAGCAGTATCGAAACTTCATGCGAAGCCGATTCGCAATCAGCAAAACCAACTGATTACAAGAGAGGTTACCACACCTGGCGATTGGTAAGACGTGTATGGTTTACGGGCTTGGTTGCCACACCTTGCGATTAAAGGGCCGAGGGAGTTCTCGCAGTTTGGGTTACCACGCCTTGCGATGGATGTGCGTGAAGGGTGGCACCGAATTTCAGAAATGTGGCAAATCCCCTGTGTTTTTGGACCCTGACCCCGCGGATCTGCGTGAGGGGTGGCACCGAATTTCAGAAATGTGGCAAATCCCAGTGTTTTTGGACCCTGACCCCGCGGATCTGCGTGAGGGGTGGCACCGAATTTCAGAAATGTGGCAAATCCCCCGTGTTTTTGGACCCTGACCCCGCGGATCTGCGTGAGGGGTGTCGATTTCGAGCCCCCCCAGCAATTCAGACAACGCGCCCAGGTGAGGCTAAAAATCATATTTGGGCCTCCCCCCCCCTCGCGCGGTCAATCAACTAGTTACAGTAACCAGCAATCAGTCAACTAGTTACAGTAACCAGCAAGAAGCAGAACTGTAACACTGGAAACTACAAACTACAACTGGTACAGGAAACTGCGAAGCACGCGCCTCGCAGCCTGGTGGCCCTACAAGGGGGCCGGCGGATATTCAGGAGGAGATGTTCTACGCTTTTGTCTCTGACATTACGCTGTTGGCATTAAGACGCAAGGGGAGATGCTCTACGCTCCTGTCTCTGACACTACGCTGTTGGCATTAAGGGAAGATGCAAGAGGATATGCTCAACGCTCCTGGCTCTGACGCTGAGCTGTTGGCATTCAGAAGAGATGCAAGAGAAGATGCGCTACGCTCTTGTCTCTGACGCTACGTTCTTGGCATTGAGAGGAGCTCGACGTTCCTACATTCGACACTACGCTGAGAGGAGATGTTCTGCGCTCCTATCTCTGACACCACACTGAGAGGAGACGCTCTACGCTCCTATCTCTGACGCTACACGCTGAGAGGAGATGCTATACGCTCCCATCTCTGACACTACGCTGAGAGGATATGCTCTACGTTGCTATCTCTGACACTGCGCTGTTGACACCACGCTGTTGGCACTATGAGGAGCAGATCTACGGCCCTATCTCTGACACTGCGCTGTTGACACTACGCTGTTGGCACGAAGGGGAGCGGCTCTACGCTCGTGTCTCTAACATTGCGCTGTTGACACTGCGCACTTGACACTACGCTGTTGACACTACGCTGTTGACGCTACGCTTTGGCATTGCGCTGTTGGCATTACGATGCAAGAGGAGATGCTCTACGCCCCTGTCTCTGACGCTACGCTGTTGACACTACGATGTTGGCATTCAGATGCAAGAAGAGAGGCTCTACCCTTTGTCTCTGACGCTACGCACTCGGCATTCAGGGGAGATGCAAGAGGAGATGCTCTAAGCTCCTGTCTCTGACGCTACGTCGTTGGCATTGAGAAGAGATGTTCCACGCGATTGTCTCTGACACCGCGCTGATAGGAGATGTTCTGCGCTCCTATCACTGACGCCACGCTGAGAGGAGACGCTCCACGCTCCTGTCTCTGACATTTCGCTGAGAGGAGATGCTCTACGCTCTTATCTCTGAGACTACGCTGAGAGGGTATGCTGTACGCTCCCATCGCTGACACGACGCTGTCGACACCGCGCTGTTGACCATGCGTTGCTGGGACTGCGCTGTTGACACTGCGCTGTTGACGCTGCGCTGTTGACACTGCGATGTTGACGCTGCACTGTTGACACCGCGCCGTTGGCCCTTCGCTGTTGACGCTACGCTGGTGGCGCGACGCCGTTGAGGCTACGCGGTTGGCACTGCGGCGTGGACACTACGCCGTGTGCACTGCGTTTGTGACGCGACGCTGTTGACACTGCGCTGTCGACACGACGTTGCTGACACTACGCGGTTGACACTGCGTTGTTTCTTGCGCAGCGTGTCCTGCGTAGCTTTTCCAGCGTCGTGTTCCCATACGAAGCGTTTCCTGCGTAATGTTATCTACGTAGCGTGTCTTGCGTAGTGTGTTTTGTGTTGCGAGGTTCTATTACGCAGTATTTGTTTACGCAATGGGTCCTGCGTGGCGTTTCTTGCGCGGCGTTTCCTGCGCGGCGCTTCCTGCGCAGCGTTTCCTGCGCAGTGCGCGTTGTGCGCAGTGTTTGTTTGTGCGCGGTGTTTGTGTTAGGTAGCGTTTTGTTACGCAGTGGTTCGTTTCGCCGTGTTTTTGCTGCGCAGTGTTTTTGTTGCGCTGTTTTGTTGTTTGTTTGTTCAACGCTGTTTTTTTGTTTTTGTTTTACGTTGTGTTTTATATGTTTACGTGTTTTTTTTGCGCCGTGCTCCTTGCGTTCCGTTTCCTTCGCATTTGTTCCTGTGTTGCGTTTCTTGCGCAGCGTTTCCTGCGCAGCGCGTTGCGCGGCGCGTTTGCTGCGCCGATTTCCCAGCGTAGCGCGGCGATGTGTTCGCGCGCTGTTTTCGACGCAGTGTTTGTTTACGCTGCGTTTGTTCTACACCGCGTTTGTATTGTGCTGTTCTTTTCTATATGAGAAACGCAGCACTTCTTACGTAGTGTATCATGCGTAGTACGTTCTACGTCGTGTGTCTTGCGTAGTGTTGTTTTGTGTTACGCAGTGTTTCACGCAGTTTCTGTTGACGCAATGTTTCCTGCGCAGTGTTGTTTGCGCTCTGTTTCCTGCGTGGTGCTTCCTGCGTAGCGCTTCCTGCGCAGCGTTTCTTGCGTAGTGTGCTTTTACGCAGTGTTTTTTGGGGGGCGCCGTTTGTTATTGTACGTAGCGTTTTGTTATGCAGCGTTGTGTTACGCAGTGTTTTTGTTACGCCGAGTTTTTGTTACGCAGTGTTTTTTTTTCAACGGCAGTGTTTTTTTGACGTAGCGTTTTTCTTAATTCTATATGAGGGCAGCGTTTCCTGCGTCGCGTTTCCTTCGCAGTGTTTCCTGCGCAGCGTTTCCTGCGTAGTGTTTCCAGCGTAGTGTTTTTACGCAGTGTTGTTTGCTACGTCGATGTTAAATGCACGCAGTGATTTGCTACGCATCGTTTCCTACGCATTGTTGCTTTACGCAGGATTTGTTTTACGCCGCGTTACTTTTACGCAGTAGTTTGTTTTTTACGCCGCGTGTTTGTTCGTATTGTTTCCTGCGTAGTGTTTCTTGTGTGGTGTCTCCTGCGTAGCATTTTCTGCGTAGCGTTTCCTGCGTAGTGTTGTGTTGATGCTGTGTTGTTTGTTTGTTTACGCCGTGTTTTTGTTACGCAGTGTTGTATACCCAGCGCTGTTTACGCAGAGTTTTGTTTTACGTTGTGTTTTCTACGTAACGTTTCCTGCGTAGGGTTTCCCGCGTAGTGTTTCCTGCGTAGCGTTTTCTACGTAGCGTGTCCGGCGCATGTTTTTTGTTTTACGCCATGTTTTGTATTCCGTGTTTTGTGTTTCCGCAGTGTTGTTTACC